TAACCCCAAACATTATAATAATATAATTTCAGATTATCCTCTTTTTTCTTTTTTCATTTTCAAATAAAAGGCGTAAAACTATACTGATTAAAAAAACCCTACTTATACTTGTTCCCTGGGAGATACAAACAGTTATGATTACTAGCTCCAAGAAATATATCACAAATGGGATGGCTTTAACAAACAGGAGTTTGTTAAAAAAACAGGAGCAGATAAGAGGGAGAGCCCTTAGGCAGGAAGCAGCAGCCAGGGTGACAGGCAGAACAGATAAAAGAGAGAGCCCCCAGGCAGGAAGCTAAGGGAGACAAACTTGTCTGTCAGTTTGTCCTACTGTGGTGGCTTGCGTGTTGCTATGAGTCTGGAGGCTGTGCCACTGGTGTTTCAAATGCCAGTCAGGTCACCCATGGTGGGCAGGTTTCAACGGAGCTTCCAGACTGAGACAAACTCAGAAGAAGGAAGAGGCCATCCACTTCTCAAATAATTGGCCAATGAAAACCTTATGAATGGCAGTGAAACACTGATACATTACTGGACAACTTTATGACTAGACCTGAAACAATGTCCAATACAGTGCCAGAAGATGAGCCTTTCAGGTTAGAAGGCACTCAAGATATGACTGGGAAAGAGCTGCCTCATCAGAGTAGAGCCAATCTTAATAATATGGATAAAGCAGAGGTTTTGGGATCTCCATTTACTGATGTGGCACAACTCAAAATGAGAAGAAACAGCTGCAAACATCCATTAATAATCAGGACATGAAATGTACAAAGTACGAATCTAGGAATATTGGAAGTTGTCAGAAATGAAATGGACCACATAAAGATTGATATGCTAGGCATTAGTGAGCTGAAATGGAATGGTTTTGGCCATTATGAATCAGACAACCATATGATTGATCTACTATTCCGGGAATGACAATTTGAAGAGGAATGGTAGGGCATTCATCATCACAAAGGATGTTTCAAGATCTATCCTGAAGTACAATGCTGTCAGTGATAGGATAATATCTATACGCCTACGAGGAAGACCAGTTAACACTACTATTATTCAAATTTATGCATCAACCACCAAAGCCAAAGATGAGGAAATTGAAGATTTTTACCATCTTCTGCAGTCTGAAATTGGCCAAACATGCAATTAAGATGTGCTGATCATCACTGGTGATTGGAATGCAAATGTTCGAAACAAAGAAGAATCACTGGTAGTTGGAAAATTTGGCCTTGGTGATAGAAATGACACTGGAGATTGTGTGACAGAATTTTGGAAAACAAATGACTTATTCATTGCAAATACCTTTTTTCAACAACACAAATGGCAGCTATATACATGAACTTCACCAGCTGGAATATACAGGATCCAGACTGACTATATCTGGGCAAGAGGTGATGAAAAGCTCAGTAACTTTAGCCAAAATAAGTCCAGGAGTTTATTGTGGCACAGACCATCAGCTGCTCATATGCAAGTTCAAGCTGAAGTTGAAGACAATTAAAACAAGTCCACAAGAGCCAAAATATGACCTTGAATATATCCATCCTGAATTTAGAGACCATCTAAAGAATAGATTTGATGCATTGAACACCAGTGACTGACAACCAGAGGAATTGTGGGATGACATCAAGAACATCATCCATGAAGAAAGTAAAAGGTCATTTAAAAGACAGAAAAGGAAGAAAAGACCACAATTTATGTCAGAAGAGACTCTGAAACTTGCTCTTGAATGGAGAGTAGCTAAAGCCAATGGAAGAAATGATAAGATAAAAGAGCAGAACAAAAGATTTCAAAGGGCAGCTCAGGAAGACAAAGTCAATTATTGTAATAAAATGTGCAAAGACATGGAGTCGTAAAGCCAAAAGGGAAGAACACGTTTGGCATGTCTCAAGCTGAAAGAAATGAAGGAAAAATTTAAGCCTTGAGTTGCAATATTGAAAGATTCTATGGGCAATATATTGAATGATGCAGGAAACATCAAAATAAGATGGAAGGAATACACAAAGTCACTGTTTAAAAAAGAATGGTCGATGTTCATCCATTTCAGGAGGTGGCATATGATCAAGAACCAATGGTGTTGAAGGAAGAAGTCGAAGCCGCACTGATGGAACTGACAAAGTTCCAAGAATTGACAGAATACTCATTGAGATGTTTCAACAAATGGGTGCCCCGCTGCAGGCACTCACTCGGTTATGCCAAGAGATATGGAAGACAGCTTCCTGGCCAACTGACTGGAAGAGATCCACATTTGTACCCATTACAAAGAATGGTGATCCCACAGAATGTGGAAATTATCAGACAATATCATCAATATCACA